TATATATATATATATATATATATATAAAATATGTTGTTAATATTATATAATGTCTCATAAATACGTGTACATCCTTTAATATATTAATATTTTAAAGAAATTTAAAAAATCTTACGATTTACGATTCGCAATTTTGACAAAACGATTTTCGATTAGATTTACGATTTGATAACCATGATTGTACCTATTTTAATTATACAAGTAACCTAAATTATTCTTAAAATATGGTCCACCTTGATAACATTTTCTTTTAATGGTCAAATATTCTTAACAATTGATCGATATTTTTACTACCACAACTTTTCATCCCACATCACATAGAAACAAACAATCCCTATATGCATCTTGATGAAAAAGGCATCCAAATGCATCCCAAATTCGATGCTAAAAACAAAATCAATAGGGCCTTTCTGGTTTGCATTATTAGCCGTGGGGGACCCTTGCACTCGTCAAAAATACACTTCGCAACGGGAGCAAACCCACGTTGTTCACACAATCGCGTTGAAACAAATCTCAACTTGACTTTCACCAAATAAATTTCAGTTCAAAACCCCTTTAAACATTCATATCAGTGAAAACGTTCATGTTACACAACGTTAGAGTGATTGTGAACCCAATAGCACCGCTTTCATACAATATTCCAATTTCTTCTAATACCAGCCTTTGGCGCACATAGTCTATAACAAAAATGTTTATCTTCTTGACCATTAGTCTGTATCGAATTGCATGTGCTCTACCCGTTGAAGTTTCTTCATTCACCTTCAGACCCAATGATTCAGCTAGTCCAAGCTGAATTTCCCCAATGTTCTTTTGTTGAGTGGCAAATCCCATCACCACTTCGTCGAACACATGTTTTTATTTCGCCATGTTCATGATCTTCAGATCCATAGTCGTCTTCCCCGCAGCTCCAATACCACGTAGTCCAACTAGATTGATCTCCTTATCCTTCAAAGTTGTCACGAACTCATCTTGATCAGTATGTTTTCTCGAATCATACTGAAGATACTGAGAATTTGATTCAAGAAAACATATAGAAGATTAGGCACATAACTCTCTTGAATAGAAAATTGAAAAAGACTAAATTACCCCTAAAGAATAACGACTTTGTTTCTTAAAAAATTAAAATTCGATAACAGCTATAATATAATATATTATATAGAAAATAGTAAATAGTAAATAATAATCACAATTAATAATAATATTAATGCTTTGAAATATGTAGAATTATTTTATCGAATTATAATTGAACAAATAAATTGATAGTTCATAATTTTATATCGAGTTTAATCCTTTTATATTTGATTTGTAATATATGAGATATTCAAATAGGTTTCTAAAATTGAATAAATTGTCAATTGTACAATAACTAGTATTATATACCTTTTGTGTTGTAAAATTAAAAAAAAAACACAATAATATATTATATTTCTCATTTTACAAAAAAATACATTAAGCTTTTCATTTTATAGAATAATTACTTTCAAATTAAAACAAGAAATTTTGACTTGATAGAGTAACCAGCGAACATTTGGTATGGTTGCAATTTGGGTAAACTTTAGGGGTAATTTACACTACAACAAAAGTTACATATTACGGCATTTCATTAGGGACACTTTTTTTAAAGTGCCTCGAATATAGTATAATAGGGCACTTAGTAAATTGTACTGGACACTTGATAAATCGTGTCCCAATCAAAAACTTATTGGGACATTTCAATTTGTTTCTCAAATTAATTTAAGTTTATTTTATTTATTGGTATACGATTTTTTTTCTCTCTTTAGTTACCCTAACCCCTTTCAGCCTTTCAGTCTATTCACCATTCATCCCCTTATCAACAGTCAACACACATAATTTTTCCCTCTAAAGTTTCACACCACCACGAGCACCCTTTTGAAGGTAAGTTCTTTCTTCGTACTTTTTTTTTATTTACGGCGATTGATCCTAATTTTACTCGCAATTTTCGATAAAAAAGTGTTCATCCCAATAAAAAATTTAAAGCCCTTAACCTATTATTTGTAAATCTAAAACTGAATATGTATTTGTAATTGAAAAGCGAAATCGGAACACCAGGGCAATTTCAGAACGATTATCTCAGATTCCTCGCGCCTACAGTAGGGGATTTGTGTGCACGAAGATGAGTTTTTTTCGTCTTTTTTTTTTTTTTGTGTGCAGGTCACACTCTATACCTACAATTGATTTACCGGGTTGGTGTTCTTCATTGTGTATTACAAAAATTTGTATCTTGATTTTCTTCCTCTGTAAATGTCCTAATTTTAAATTGTGCTTCTTGATAATTGATTTAAGGAGAACTTCATGAAGGGAGGTATCTAGTTAAAAGGTTGTCTGAGTTCTGATGGTCGATTTAACAGAGTAGTACTCTAAAAATTGCATAGATAGAAGAGAGTAATAACGTATATCAGAAAGATAAAAAACCCAACAGGGTCGATGATAATCCAGGTATTGAATTATCTGCTATACGAACCTCCCTAGTTAGTTATTTAGTGTCACTCAGTTGTCTGTTAAACTTGCTTTGTGTTTTGCAAGAGAAATGAGGCTTTATATGTGCTTTATGTTTATCCCGTGAATTAATGATATTGTTTTCAATGAGGAGTTGAACTTCTCTTCTTTTTTTTCCTCCTATTTTTGTAGGTATTCTGTCTTTTGTGCATGTCACAAGGGTAAGCCTCCAATTGATTTTTTCGTATGAGTTATTGATTTATGTATAATGTATTATCAAACAAGAAGTCTTCTACCTCTCTATCTTCTATAATTGTCCCAATTTTCTGCAATGTGTTTCTTGATTATTTTTAATTATTTGAATGTGGATAAATTCGTCAAGGGAGGAGGAAGATAGATTGTCTATTGCTATATATGAATGGCTTAATAAAGAACTCCAAGTATTGCAAACTTGAAGACATTAACAAGTTATATAAGAAATCCGAACAAAACCTTCAATGAAGGCAATTGAGGTATTTCTTTATTTTCATTTTTAGTTTTTGGCAATGTTAACCTATCCAACTATATGTTCTGTAGGAGCAAAACAGTATTAGAAACGAGACAAGAACTCGGTTAGAGTTCTGTTAATCTACTTTCATGCCTTGTTCATATTTTTCATTGTTTATTTTAGTTTATCTTTGAAGTGCATGTTCATATATTTTTTTAAGATTTTCTAAACTTTATGGCTCTTACGAATGATAAAAACACTATTTAAGATTATCTGTGTTTTGTATTTTTTTGAAATTATTACTGAATATTAACATTAGTATTGTACTTTTAACTTTGTTTCTTCGTACTAATTGATGTATATTTGTGTACCTGTGCAGGTTGTTTTGGATGACGAGATTCATTGTTGATACCGCCTAAAATATGCCAAGAGCTAAATTTATGCCACTAGACTTCATTCAAGACATTTTCTCCTCTTTTTTTTTTTTTTTTTTTTTTGCTAGAAAACTGACTTCTAAATATTATAATTCTGTATTTGAAGGCATGGTTTGATTATTCAGAGATTTATTGTAGTAGATTGTTTGTTGACGTTAGAGAATATCTATACAGTTGAAATTTTGATGAAGGAAAGTTGAGAATGTTTATTTTATTTGAATTCTTATTTATATTTTTATTTTGTATATATTTTTAGAGTGGAAATATTATAGCAGCAAATAAAGTTTATAAATTTTAATGCTGGAAATATAATTTTATAAAAAATTGTCATATTTTTATAGGGCATCTATATGTGTCTCATAAATACTTTATTGGGACACATATAAGGATCTCGAGAAGAAACATTTTTTGGGGCATATAATAAGTGTCCCACGATCTATTGCGACACGAAACGACGCGACATTTAATTTATTTGCCCCTAAAACTATAAATGTCCCTAAATGGTATATGTTGGGACACTTACCTATGTCCTAATAAGTGATTTTTGTTGTAGTGTTAATTTTTTCCAGGTTTCTATTCAAGGGGATTATGTGCCTAATTTCATACCATAAGGGGTAATGTGCGAAATGTATAAACCACAAGGGCGTTATGTGCCTAATTCATACCATAAGGGGGTCATGTGCAAAATATCCAAACTATAAGGGGGTTATGTGCTTAATTTCACACCATAAGGGGGTTATGTTCAAAATGTACAAACCACAAAGGGGTTAAGTGCTATTTATCCTAATGAGAAATGTGAAATTTGAGCAACAACGGGATGAGGGTTATGGTGGTGGTTAAATAGTTAGTTTTGTGAGGAACCTGAAAATGGTGAGAGCGTAACATTAATTGGTGGGTCTTCTGTTTTTTAAGATAATAAAGAGCAGTGGTAGTGGAGGAGGTGGTGGTGCCGTGGTGGAAAGAAGGAATGGGATTAGGGTTTTTTAAAAAAAAATTGAAATTGCAATTTAGTAGAATTAGATGAATAAATTTAAAATCGGAAAAAAAAAGGAACACACATATACCCTAAAATGAAGCATATGCCTCTTAATGGACATAGCAATTTAATATCTGTTAAAGTTTGCATCTAAGTTCAAATTTCGGGGCTAAGTGCAATTATAACAAAATTTTGAAGTGAGAAGTCTCATTTTTTAATTTGTAGGGAGGAAAGTGCGAAAATTATAAATTTATAGAGGACGAAGTGATTTTGTCCTTTATTTTATATTATTCATTATTTGTAAATAATTTGAAGTGATTAACTTAAAATCTTATATATAAAAGGAAGATATTTTGAACTAAAACCTAAACCTAAACCTCGGGATAATTTTGTCAATTGATAAATCCATAATTTAAAATTTGAAATTCCACTAATGCTCTATTACCCTTTTATATGTTCTAATGCTCTAATTGTTCGGTTCATAGGCTTAAAAATACAATGAATTAATATTTTCCTATTCTTTTGGGTAGTGGCATAATATCCACCTCCAACTAATTCCTATATTCATGCAATTCAATTCTTATTAATTTTACTCACTTTTTCGTTTTTTTCTTCTTCTTGCAGTTATGTTTTTTTTTTTTGTCTTTCGATTTTCCTTATTAACTCTAACTCCCACTAACTAGAAGTTAGAACCCCATGATCTCAACCCATTACAAATTGTATTTTACTTAAACTGATGATGGAGAACTCCAGCGAAAAACACAATTTGTTTTTTGTTCGTCTTCTTCTTGCAATTTTTTTTTTGTTCGTCATCTTTTTCCTTACCAAATTTTTTCAACCTAAGAAATTGATTTCTACAGGTAAATAATATAATTATTTATTTAGATTTATTTTATATTTAAATTGCACAGCTCATAATAGTTGCTAACGGTGTTGGTTTTTTTTAACACAAGCACAATTTTCGTTCACAATGACTCCCCACGTTTCAACCATATGTCTTCATTTCCTGCCATTATCAGAAGGTGGTTTTAATTGCGATGATGGTTACTCTTCTAGACGATCCCCTAGAGATCGCCGCGAATTCTGAATTTGATTGGGCAGAATTTCGAGGTTATGGAGTTTATGATCACACTGTTTTCTTCCCACCAACCTAAGTAAGATCATTTTTTTTCCTTTTCTCATGTTTATTTGTTTGTCTTCACAAATGGGTTGCGTCTAATCTTTGAGCTTCTGCATCTAATGGCTGTATTTTTTGCAAATTCGCTATGTTAGATTAATGGATATGTTTAGTATTTCTTTACAATTGAAGTGCAGTGTAATTATGGGCAGGGCCGGTCCGGCGTAATCGGGGGCCTGGGGCGAGAGTATAAATATTCAGTAGTTCGGGGGTAAAAAAGAGTAAAAGAGTAAAAAAAATTCACATTTATTTTTAAAATAAATTTATAAAAAGAAAAAAAGAATAAAAGAGTAAATTTTTTATTTTTGATAAAAGTAGAAAATTAATTTTTTTAAAACCATAAAATAATTTTTACACATAAACATACATAATACATATATTAAAAATTTAAAATTTTGGGCCCCTTATGAAATTGGGCCCTGGGCGTGGGCCCTGCTCGCCCCACCCCAGGGCCGGCCCTGATTATGGGAACCAGTTTTTCTGACGCTATAACATGATGGATATTTGTTAGTATGAAAAAAAAAACTTTTCTTTTCCGAAAAATATTTTTTTGCGAGTATGTAATAATACGAACTTCTTTTCTTTGATGTTTTGCTCAGGTTTCTGTGTTCTTTAAATGCAGAGTGTTTTTGCAAAAAAACTCCTTGGTAAATATCATAGTACGGAAAAATAATTAGAGAAAGTCTTGAAGCTCTGCGAATATTTATTCGGTTATTTTGCGTTAAACAAATTGCAGCTTTAGTTTTTTAAAATTGTGGGTTGTTCAGAGACGTTTGTTTTTACAAGAAAATGATTTTTTTTCATGATAATACTTATATTCATTTTCGGTTAGTTAGCGTAAGCAATATTTTTGTTTGTGTTTTAACTAAGTGTTCAAACTTCTGTCAAGTTCGGTTTTTTTTACTTCATTACCTAAGATAAAAATATAGAAGTTTCGGCGAACACTATTTTGCTCTTTTCCGAAAAAATCTTTGGCATAGACATGATTTTATCGTATTCTTTTACAATAAAAATATCTTTTCTCCTCAAAATTTTGTTGAGTTCTTTGCGTTATTTTGCTCTTTTCCTGAAAACCTTTGGCTGGTTTTTGGAAATATGCAAACATTTCTCCGTGCTCTGCGAAATTTTGTTCGTTGTTTGTGTTAATAAAATTGCAGCTTTAGTTCGTAAATCTGTCTCTTGCACTTCACTCGAGACAATATTGTTAGCGAACAAGAATTTTACGTTTTCCTTAATACGAGGCAAAACAGAAATGGGGAGAACTATGTTTTAATTTTTTTAAAACAACCGTGACATGTAGTAGCTAGCATTACTTTCGGCGCTTTGTGTTGCCTGTTTTTGCGGAGTTTTTATTGAATTTTCAACTATATATCTTTGAAACTATGTCACCTAGCTTTTAATTTTTCTTTTTGCACGCATGTTTTTTACTGGACCATCAATATAAAGAGTGTTTTCAAATTTTCCAAGACCTTAACCAATCACCTGTTGTGAACATTCAGTGTGCTCGGTTGCAAATACTAGATCAGTTACGAGAACTTTTCGGAGGCATTGACGAACATTGACATTTTATTGAGAGGTCAATATTTTTAGAATAAGTAATTAATTTTTTTAACATTGTTTTAATAAAAATAACCAATGGCAATAGTTCTCTCTCTTTCTAGATCTTTTTCTCTGTTGTGATCTTATTTATAGCTTTCATTAAAATCTTATGTTTACAATTAGCAAGTGAATTTACATATTGTGCATGCAGTGACAGTGACCATAATAAAATGAAGGCCAAGTATAAACTAAAGCTATTGTTGGGTTGAATTCAAGTACAATCTTATTTTCATTTTGTTTTTTTTTTTTTGTGTATTGTATCAAAAAATTAAAAAAGTTGTACCACTTAGATTGTCAGATTAACTTCAACTTAATGTAGAGTTCGTTAGAATTAGTTTTAGATTGATTTTGTATTGTTTTATTGTTTTGTCTACAAAAAATTACTTATCAATATTAATTCATTCTACTATGATTTGAAATTAGAATTATAAATATTATATAATGTAATTTTTTTACAATTCTTAGACCAATAGACAATTTGTTATAAATATTTTAAGTTGTTTGCGGCATAAAATTTTCGAACAAAATTTGAGGTGTTCTTTTTTTTTTTTCTTTATCATCCAATGATGAAACGTAATTTGTGCTAGGGTTAGTTTCTTTTCTTCTTAAACATTGGTTTTTTTTTCATTTGCCATATTTTGCAAAATTAGCCATCCGAGCTTTTAAACATATGAATCTTATATTACATACACTTTTAAATAAAATAATTATTTTCTTCTCTTTTGTAGTGGTTTTGTAGTGGTTCCCGTGAAACGCACGGGCATGGTTACTAGTATATATAAAAAATAACATATGTATCTTAAACATCAATCTTAAAATGTTTAAATTTAATTATTAACTATCTAAATAAATAAGTGATTATACGTAAATTAATTAAAAATAACAGTTGTCTCAACAAAAATAGCAATTATCATGAAACCCGGTTGGGGTTTCCAATTCTCCGGTTAAACCAGCAGTTTCTCGGTTTGTTTGCCTTCCAGCGCGGGTTTTGACGTTTTGCAGGTTTCTTTATCCAACCGAACCGGATTGGTTACCGGTTGAACCGGTCCGGCCCAAAACAAATCCAAACATTTGCCTATTGTATTATGCATCTAAATGAAAAAGGCATCCAAATGCATCCCCAAATCAGATTAAAAAAACAAAACCAACGGTGAAGGAATCTGCTTGCGTCATCATTGATGTCACCTCCACGTGGACCTTGCCAATCTCTCTCTCTCCCCCGTTACTCTTTCACCACGTTCTGATTCTTTATTATCCAAGCTGTGCGAGCGAGAGTGAGGAGAGAGACACAGAGAGAGGAGAGAGGAGAGAGAGAGATGATCGAAGATGAGGAAGAAATCTCTGCTCCACTCCGTAAGTCGTCATTCTGCTCAATTTAGATTCAGCTGAATCCAATTTTGATCTCCTTTTTTTCCTCAGCTCAAACAATTCTACTCCAAAATGTGCAGTTCGGCACCGGCCGCCGCCGCCGCCGCCGGAGGAAAACTCGCCGGTCGAGCAAGTGGCCATGACCGTCCCGCCGACCGACGACCCGACCCTGCCCGTGGTCACCTTCCGGATGTGGACCCTTGGCGCGGCGGCCTGCGTCCTCCTCTCCTTCCTCAACCAGTTCTTCTGGTATCGCCGCGAGCCCCTCTCGATAACCGCAATCTCCGCCCAGATCGCCGTCGTGCCCCTCGGCCACCTGATGGCGGCCGCCCTCACGCGGCGGGTGTTCTTCGAGGGCCGGAGGTGGGAGTTCTGCCTCAACCCGGGCCGGTTCAACGTGAAGGAGCACGTGCTGATCACGATCTTCGCCAACTCGGGGGCGGCGAACCCTTACTCGATCCATATTGTCAGCGCGGTGAAGATATTCTACAAGCAGAGGTTGACTTTCTGGGTGGCGTTGGGGGTGGTTCTCACCACTCAGATATTGGGCTTCGGTTGGGCCGGGCTTTTCCGGAGGTACCTTGTCGAGCCCGCCGCCATGTGGTGGCCACAAAACCTCGTTCAGGTGTCTCTCTTCAGGTGTGATTCGATTCAGCCTATCTCTCTCTCCTTGTAGCAGATATTGTATGTCTTTGTCAACATTTATATATGGAAAGCATTCAATAGTAATTTTGGGCTTAAATGTTCGTAAAGATGGTTTAACTGTTCTCTCATTAATGGCAATTTCGACATCTCGGCAATTTGCTTTTCGACTTTTCGTTGTTACTTGAGCATTTGTATCCTATAAAAAAGCACAATTGGTTTCCAACTTTCCATAAACTGTAGAAATTTATACATCTTGAAATTGTTAATGCAAAGTTTGTTGCACTAGTCGGAGATCAGGTTCGATTCGTTTAATTAAAGAAGTTGTTTGGCCTTAGAAACGGAAACCTCAACTGAATTCGTAACAGATAAAATTAAGTGAAATAAATTCGGTTTTGAAGTACATAGGTATTTCAATCTGCCTTCACATTATCGCAACTCCGAAATTTGATTGTTCTAGTCTCATTAACCAATCTCGTTTTTTTTTTAAAATGCAGGGCGCTTCACGAGAAAGAAGTAAGAGCAAAGGGTGGAGTGACACGAAATCAGTTCTTCCTAATCGCCTTTCTTTGCAGCTTCACTTACTACGTATTTCCAGGCTACCTATTCCCGAAGCTCACTTCAATTTCATGGCTCTGCTGGATATTTTCTTCTTCGGTCCTAGTCCACCAGCTCGGTTCGGGGCTCCATGGTTTAGGAGTTGGTGCTATTGGTCTTGATTGGTCAAGCATATCCTCTTACCTCGGTAGCCCGTTAGCTAGCCCGTGGTTTGCTACTGCTAACATTGCTGTCGGATATTTTGTTTGCGTGTACGTAATTGCACCTACAATGTACTGGCTCAATGTGTACGAAGCCAAGACCTTCCCCATATTTTCCGATGACCTGTTTACGTCAAACGGGCAGAAATATAACATCTCGGCGATTATAGATTCGAACTTCCACATCGATTTGGACGCGTACGATCGCGAAGGGCGTCTCTACCTCAGCACGTTCTTTGCTATGACGTATGCTTTTAGCTTCGCTTGTCTCACTGCCACCATTGTTCATGTCCTCCTTTTTCATGGAAGGTGAGTTGAAAATAAGTGATTCATGCTTTCAATAGTATATGTTTTTGTTTCTTTTTTTTCCGAAAAAAGATGGTTTTTTCTGCATATTGTTATGTATTTGCTACGAATGCCCTTTTAAGTAATAAACTCTGATGCACTGTGTCCAAGAACTTTTAAGCTGATCGAATTTTTTTCTACAACTTATATAGTTAGTAACATCACGTAGAAATAAAAACGTTTTATGTTGTAAGTCTGTCATTGGCCTGGACTAGTTATTGTCGACTTATCTCTTAAATAGAATACAAATAAAAAGAACTCTCGTTTTTTAGCAGAGTTTTCTTCATACTGCTTTTTCGAGTTCCATAAATGTATTTTGTTAGGTTCGTCACTACAGTTAAAAAAGTAGGCGTCAAGTTTACATTGTTAATTCAGGGACCTGTGGATGCTGAGCAAGTCAGCCTTCAAGGAGAAGAAGATGGATATACACACTAAGCTTATGCAAAATTACAATCAAGTCCCTGAATGGTGGTTCCTATGCATTCTTATGATAAATATAGCCGGCACCCTCCTTATCTGTCACTTTCAAAACGACCAACTCCAGTTGCCGTGGTGGGGTGTCTTATTAGCTTGTGCTCTCGCCTTCGTTTTCACTCTTCCCGTTGGAGTCATCGCTGCCACTACAAACCAAGTGAGATTCTATACGTCTCGTTTGGTTGGTAAAAATATATGTCATGATTACTTAAATAATTAGTTGACATTAAATCGAACACTGTTTTATGATTAGACACCGGGCCTGAACGTGATCACAGAGTACATAATCGGGTACTTGTATCCGGGATATCCAGTTGCTAACATGTGCTTCAAAGTATACGGCTACATCAGTATGAAACAAGCGCTCATATTTCTCCAAGACCTCAAACTCGGACACTACATGAAAATTCCCCCGAGAGCAATGTTCATGGCCCAGGTTTATTTTTCATTAAATAAAATATTTCGTTTTCTTTCCGACATAAAAAAAAAAAAAAAAGTAGGGTCATTTTCATTTTCATTGTAATATATATTTAATATTCTATCAGGTGGTCGGCACTCTAATATCATCACTGGTACACCTCGGAACTGCTTGGTGGCTAATGGACACAGTACCCAACATATGTGACAGGTCAGTGCTGCCCTCGGGCAGCCCATGGACCTGCCCGGGCGACCATGTATTCTACGACGCCTCTGTTATATGGGGTTTGATCGGGCCCGAAAGAATATTCGGAGACCTCGGTTACTACTCCGCCATAAATTGGTCTTTTCTGCTGGGGGCGGTGGCCCCCGTTCTCGTTTGGGTCGCGCACAAGGCGTTCCCAAACCAGCAGTGGATTAGGCTGATTACGGTCCCCGTGCTTTTGGTGTCGATAATAAACATGCCACCGGCAACTACGGTGAACTACAATAGCTGGATAATCATAGGTTTTTTGTCGGGTTACGTTGCGTATAGATACTATCGGGATTGGTGGAGCAGGCACAATTATGTGTTGTCGGGTGCGCTTGATGCTGGATTGGCATTCATGGGAGTGCTGCTATATCTGTGCTTGGATATGGCGCATATTAGCCTTGATTGGTGGGGGAGTGTTAGTGATGGTTGCCCTTTGGCTACTTGCCCTACTGCTAAGGGTATTGTTGTCAAAGGGTGCCCTATTTTTTGACTTGTTTTTAAGTAAATATTGTTTGTTGATGTTTGAATGTATTGTATTTGTAAAATATGATATTGGTTTTTGATAATTAGAAAAGTGTATGTGCTTTGTGATGCTCTCATTACTCGATTCATTTCCAAAATTGTTAGTTGAAAATTCTCAATTTTGCTGATGTATCTGATTTGAATACTACAGCAAAAAAATATCTCGAATAAAATATGAAATATGTACATATGTATTTTATTTCAAATTCGTCTTTTACATTTCATTAATATTAATATTTTCGGGCATGGTTGTACGTATCGAAGTGACTTTCTTGGGTTATGGGATTTTCGGCATAATAACAAATCACAAGCCAATGTTTGAAATGGTTTAGGAAGTTATTTTTATTTTTATTTTGAAAAAATATACTTTGAGAGAATAATTTGAGAATAAAAGTAATCTTTGATTATGTTTATTAAAAAATCACGATGTACGACTCATCTTAGGATTACGTTCTTTAAATTCACGGCGACAATGATGATGATGATGACGATGATGATAAAATACACTTTATCCTCTTATACTATACGCTATGTAACACTTACCCCGCGTACTTTGAAAAATACACTTACTCCCTCAACTTAACGGTTAACCTATTTTATTACTAACAATGTCTGTGGTAATAAAATAATTATAATTTTATGATCAAATTAAATGTACTTTTTAATAGTTGATAAGAAATGACACCTTGCTTTCATTAAAAGAAATATTTTTGCATTGTGAATGTTTTGCATTATGAATGATATATTAAAAATATCTAACATGTATAATTTTTTAAATATTGAATTAAAATATTGACTGAGTAAATATTTATATTAAAAATTGTAATTCTACATTAACATTAATAATATATGTTAATGTTTTATTGTATTTATTTGTAACATCAAAATTTATTTAACTTGCCTTTTCATTTAGGATTAGCTATACGTAATTTGATTTTACAAATAAATAGTATTTTTAATGTGCATGTTTGATGAGTTAACTAATTGCATCTAATATATGAAAAATTATACTATCTAAATATTTTTTTATTTAAATATTTAACTAGTAAATTATTTTTAATCCAAAAAAAAAAATACTATCTTAAATATTTATTTAATTTATTAGAGTACATGTAATATTTTTTGAATAAAAAAAATGTGTCATTTAGTAAAGATTATTAAAAACATATATTAAATTTATTTTACTACTAACACCGTTAAGAGTCAAATAGATTAACCATTAAATTGAGGGGTAAGTATTTTTTCATAGTACGAGGGGTCAATGTTACCCGTGGCATATTACAAGGGGTCAAGTATATATTTACCCTAATAACAATTGAAAATATATACATGTTAAAATAAGGAACTATTTTGGAAAGAGTTTAAAAGTTGTTTTCACCGATAAATATTCTAGAATCTAGCGAGAGTTTTAACAGACTTTTTTAAACAATTAGATATTTTAGATCTCCATAATCCATTTAATGAAATGAATGATATAAATAGATGGAAAATATTTGTCTTTTAACACTGATATGCCTAATTGAGCCAACCCAATGGACTTACAATTTATTTACCTACTGGGCCACGAGCCCAATATTGAAAACCAATATCACCGAGGCCCAATCACCTTCAGATAAGGTTTGGGTCCAACGATCTCATCTAAGGTATAAATAACGATATAATTCATTTATTAAAGGGGAGCCCTATTATCTAAAGAATACTAGGAGTCATATTCTCTCAATGATTTCTACTATCCCCACGTCTAACTTGAGCGTCGGAGGGGTTTCCGCCGGATCAACCCCCGGCCTAGTTCACGTTTTCTCTCTTCGCAGGTATCTCAGGGCCATCTAACACGTGAGCAGTGATCCACTCTGCTCTCCCAGCTCAACTATCTAAGGTGATCTATTTTTAGCATCATCAAACACATAACTCATTATGACATAATAATAATTCATATATTTTAGTTGTTAATTTATATTAGATATATTTTTAAAATAAAAATGAGAATTTTCCTGTGAGATCAAGGCTTCGCGTAATCCATTGATGTACACCTAAAAGTCCAATAATGAGTATCAATCAACATCAATCAAAGTAGTAACATTCATGAATCAACTCCAAAAAATCAAAAAAGAAATTCACTCGATTATACTTGATCAAGATCGTGCTCCTATGGCCCAACTAGTGAACTCTCTAAGCACTATCTAAACTTTCTTGGGGTCCACACTTTCGTGTGTGACTATAGTTTCAAGTCAAAACCCTTTCAATTCAGTACATTGGTTACGTTGATCATCACTATATTTCCTGCATAATTCTTTGACATCTAATTCTAATACCTACTACACCGAGAATTTTGTTTTAAAGAAATTAGAAAGAGAAATTTCCAACGAAAGATTTTCTTTAATTGATAGTGATTCTGTTTTATTAACAAAATATTAATATATATTATAAGTTTGTATTTTCAGTTTGACTACACATGTTGTCTTCGAAAATAAATTGAAATTGCTACAGTTAATTTAGAATTTATTACTATAATTTAAACTTTGAAATTACATAATGATTTTAAACTTTAGAGTTTTTAGGTTTTTTTTTCTCTATATATCTTTACCAAATTAAATATTTATTTGTTTTTACGGATTTGATTAGCGAAATGCAATGTTCTAGAAAAAAGATTTTTGTTTATTTTATGTATTTATTTTTTGTTATAGCTTGCAATAATAAAAATATAGTTGTTATTATATTTTATTTATACTAATTATAATTTTGCATATCATTTAGATTTACAACATATTTTTAGTTTCGATATCTTATAAAGTATTTTCTTTTTTGGTATTTGGCAAATTTGATTTTCGGTTCGCTATTATTTTCATCACTTACACTAATTAAGTATTGATTTGTAAAAAAAATATTTAGATAAATATTAACTTAATTGCTTTTTTATTATTAAATGTTTTATGAAATATAATTTAAAAAATAGTTACAAAACAAATTTTGATTTCCTTCGTAAGAAAAATATGATGGTAATTGGTATATTTTATGCAATGGAAAATAAGTTTCTTCAGGATTTTTTATTTATTGAAAAGTATAAGATATATACATATAAATTAATGAAAATGTCAATTCCACCCACCCCACCCCCATTTTGGTGTCATTGATAGGGTTGAAGATTAGAACATTTTTTTTCTTTTTTCTATTTTCACCTATTCAAATTCAAAAATCAAATCTGGAACAATAGTTTTCAACATGAATTCTAAAATTCCGCCTTTTTATTTTCCAATAATATTTGGATCAGGATTAAAATATTTATGAGAGTCCAATTTTCGGATTTTAAGTTCCAAATCAGAAAAAAATAATCCGAATACTACACTCCAAATATCGATGATCGAGTTTCCCTCCAGTATCGTCCAATCCATCAGCCACACCATCTACTTAATTTTTTTTATCTACTTATTTTTATAAAGAAGATGTCAATTTATGCAACCTATCAATGAATTACCTGTTATAGCAGGTCATAGAACCAAAACTCTCGTAATTTTATAACATATAGGCCTAAAATGTTGATTTTAAAATAGGGTGGACTAAATATCGATTGAAAATCCCATTTTGCCTTCAATCTTATTCTTAGTTTGATTTTGGTTTCTTCTATTCCTCACCAGTCACCACCATCGCCGATAAACATTTAAACGACATTTCAATAATTCATTAAAATTCAATTTTTAATTGAAAAAATGACAATTAATTATTTAAAAAATGATCTTCTCACCCCAGTTATATATTCCAAAAATTAATAATTTATGTCTTATATAGATTAATTTTAATAAATGGCTAATTTGTTAGACCCGTAAAATCAAATTGTCTTTAAGTTAGATATACCAACTTTTGCAATTTGTTACAAAAATATGTTTTTCAGACCCCCCACACTCTGTCAGATCCCAACTTCGTTGAATTTCGTCAAATCAATCCCATCCCTACTCCCCGCAGATGTCATCGTTGAAAAATTCTGTCACACAGCCACACACACATAATCACACACCTGCATATGCACATACACAACAACACACGCACACACATACGACTTTGGTTAAACTCATTCATCTCCATTGTAACCTAATAATGATAGAAATCAAACCGAAAAAATATTAAGAGTTGTTTGGTGATGGTGATTATGATGGTAATGTTGGTGGGGATGTACGCACCCGATTTTTTTTTATTCAACTTATTTAACTAAGCTGTGTAACTAAACCACGCAAATAAGTTATCTAAGTTGTGTAACTAAACTGTCAATGTAAGTTGTGTATATGCTGTGGGAAACATCTATTCTTATTTTAGTTTTTTCATCACTGTATTTTGACTAAATTGTTGTTTATTAATATAATTAAGTTGTGCAAATCACCGCGTTGATGTTACTGTTAGTTTTCCTAAGCAATTCCGTTAGAGAGGAGCGCACATGGGCTTTTAGCAAAATGCAAAATACACGTGTCCTTATAGTTATAGAGAATATTTTGTGAAGGGCTTGCAACTAATTTTCCCGATAATAAAAATAGTATAAGGCGAAATAGGACTTTTGGGATGGTAATTTCAGTTTTAAGCAAAATATAGTAATTTATTTAATTTGCTGAGCTAAATGAGAGACTAGGAGAGTAAAAATAACACACCTCTGTCAAACATCATACCGGGGCCGCACATAGAACTAGGCTGCTAAATGGATCACAAATGGATCAATTCGACCGGGTTCAACTGGATTTTTATATTTTTTCTATCATGTTTTTGTTTATTAATACATATGGGAGCTGCTTGGTGGCTAATGGACACAGTACCCAACATATGCGATAGGTATGTGCTGCCCTCGGGCAGCCTGTGGACCTGGTCGAGCAGGAATCCAGAATTTTTGTCAACAGTGTTCGGAATTAAATATAGTAAAAAATAATATGGTTGGGTAAAAGTTTACGTGGGTTCAGGGGCAGCGCCCCTGATTTTTTTTTAATACTATACACATTAAATAATAAAAAATTGTAATATCTTCAAATTTAAAGGGATTATTTTACAAATTTTGGGCTAATTTATGAAATATTTAGACATAAAATTGGTGAAAATATTAAAG